TAGAACATTTCTGAATGCCGGGCATTTAGATTTTTTGACTCTTCCCGGCTGCAGGGCTGCTCTACAGTGATTAGGGCTAGAAAAGGAACTTATAACGGTTAGATTGAGTTAGATCGGAAATTTTATACTGAGAAAAGGCAGAAATTATAGGAACTGGAATTTGTTCCACACTTCAGTGACACTTCCCGTGTTTTCTCGAAAGGAATCTAGTAAAAACACGGGGATGATTGTATATAATTGGTGGGAATCACGCGTATCGTGAATGACAGTTTTAAAACCATTGAGTGTTAATTCAAACAGAATATTTGTATAAGAAGACCTGTGCTAAATTGACATAACATGAACCATTTTGACGAAATAAATAGATTGAACTACTCATGATGATCAGTCAACTGATCTGACGTATATTTTTACTGTGCGACTGAATTTTTATTAGTCTGCTAATACGAGGTTATCGGACCTTAAAAAGTGTCTGTTTGTTGTGAATTGTTTTGCTTACCCGAGTGTATTCAGTATCTTTCAAGCGAAACGTAGTAAATTCCCGGGCATCTAGAGCGGGTTCGCTGAAGTTTAATGTTAAATGGCTGATAAGCTATCCGTGAGTGATAGTGTACCTAAAATTTATCAGTTTGCTCGTGACGGTTCTCCTAATCTGACTGATCTTTTAAAGCGGCTGAAACCAGACCAAAGAAAAACCGCTTTGAAGACAAAAACTAAAGATGGCAGCCATTTTGTCACTCCTCTTATCGTCGCTGCTCACAATGGACACCTGAATTCCGTGAAGATTCTTCTGAAATATGGAGCAGACATTGAGACTCGAGGAACGCTTAAGATAGGAGACGAAGTTATAACGGGTTGTACACCTTTGTGGGCCGCTGCTGATACTGGTCATCTTGATGTTGTGAGATTGTTAATCAAACGAAATGCAGACGTTGACGGCAGAACATCGTCGGGGTCGACTCCATTGAGGGTTGCTGCCCATGATGGACACCTCGACGTTGTGAGATGTTTGGTTGTGAGCGGGGCAGATGTGAATGCACGTACTGACCGGGAGTCCACCCCTCTAATGGCAGCATGCTACTATGGCCACGTTAGTGTTGTTACTTATCTTATTAACAAAGGCGCCTTTATGGATCTTCATTACAAAGATGCCGGCAACACTGCATTTCACGACGCTGTTGAAGGGGGCTACTTGGAGGTAGTCAGTCAACTTTTGGCTCTTGGAGCATCACAACTGCCAAATAATCAAGGTTTAACACCACTTCTTTTTGCCTGTGATAAATGTTCCATTGAAATCGTGGATCATATTATCAACAGACCGGAATGTATAAAGGAACAGAAAATTGATGCTCTTGAACTTCTTGGTGCCACCATTGCAAATAATGGATCTCGTGACATTAATAAAGCGTTTAGCTACATGAAACGTGGAATGGAGATGAGATATGAAGACCCGGCACATCCATTGCTTAAAAAGAAAACGGAACCTGTGGAAGCTTACGAAAATAGAAAAGAGAGTCAAACGCTTGAGGAACTTGCTCTGTTAGAAGGTGATGATCATGCTATTGGCATGGAAGGACTTATAATCAGAGAGAGAATCCTTGGGCCTGACAATCCAGTACTTCGGGGCCCAATTAGACACCGGGGGGCTGTTTTAGCTAACTCTGGGAAGTACGAGCTTTGTATTGGTTTGTGGAAACTAGCGATGGAGAAAGCCTTTAACTGCAATGATCCAATAACAAAAGTAACAGTTGATGTTGTATCCTTCGCAGATCTATTTGGATTTATGGTAAAAGTAAGTGAACTTTTAAGACCAAATGTCGTCGAAGACGTGTTTGAAATACTGGTTGCTGCAAGTGAGAAACGGACAGAACCATTGAAGTCTGGAAAATTACAAGACGCGCGTAAAAACAAGGAGCAAGAAAAAACGCTTAACGGTGCTCTCTATCTTTTGATGATATACTCTAAACTAAAAGTTCAAAATCCCAGCATGATTGACCTTCTTCAAAGATTCCTGCGTTTAAATCCTTGTAACAATGATGGAAATACTCTACTGCACTTAGTTGTGTGGCAGGAAACTCCAATTAAAGAAGACAACCATGTGCGAAGTGTGTGCAAGCTTCCCTGTGTTGAGACCATGAAGCTTATTTTACATGCAGGATGTGATGTAAATGTCGATAACACCGAGGGAAACACACCTCTCCATCTAGCTGTGACGTTCAAGCCTGCTGACCCTGAAGAAGTCGTGATTTTGTCAGAAATGCTGCTGTTGTTGTTAGATGTCGGTGCAGACCCAAATGTGGCAAACAAAAATGGCCAAACAGCACTGGACAGCTGCGAAACTGACGCAGCTCGTAGGATCCTGCTTGAGAAAGGAAGACTGAGTGCCATGAACGTCGACGTTGGAGATGTAAGAAAGTTTTAAATTTTAACATATCATAATTCCCTAAAATCATTACAGCAACCTTTGTCAGGAAATGAGAGAGTACTTTCTTCCGTGTCTATCTTGTGTTCATTGTTGCAATTGTATAACTTCACGCTAATGTATGCCCGTCTGTTCTGTCGTAATTTGTAATAATTGTGATAATCTGTAATAGCTGTCGTAATTTGTAATGAAACAATTTATCGCAATGCAGCTGTTTTAATAGCCAAAAATGGATGTTTGAAAGGGACATGTACAGTAGGCTCTCAGAGAAAGCTACGGTGCAAGCGGGCGCCAATTGTTAGTTAGTGACCTAAGAACTGTTATGAACCGTTCGATTTATGTTTGCAAAAAGTATCTCAGATAGAAAGTTCGAAGGACAAATCAAACCGAGAGGCGTCAGGGTAATACTATCAATTGACGATCTTTCAAAGTAACTTGTAAAACAGTAAGCGCATTCACAAATTTTTGGAATCTCTTTGGCCGTAGGGCTATTTAGCGCTGCATTCATTCAGTCAGTCAATAATATGTCAGCATGCGTTCAACCGACTTGTTTCCATGTCACACGACCAGCTATAACAAATTTCCACGCGAACGACAAGAAACTTACTCTCTTAGGCCTTGAACTTGAAAAGCTTGAAAACCCATCAGTCAGAATATTTAAAAAATTTTATTAATTTCAAAGCTGTCATTGCCAGGTTAAAGGGAAGGGAAGGTCATTTTGCTACTTCCCTCTTCCATTTTTTCCCTCGCCGTTTCCTCGCGATTTTTACCCCCTTCCACCAACAGGAGCGCTTTTTTACGTGACGTTTTTTCGTTACGGATTCAAGACAGATCGTGGTTTTGAATACATAATAGTTTAAATAGTTTAGGAGTATAGTCCATTAATCGTACTTAAATAGCTTTGGTATCCTCTAAGTGGATGTTTTTGCCACTTTCACAAAGGCTGGAAAACTCGGAAGTGGAACTGGTAAGAGAAAAGGAGGAGGAGGAGGATTTGTTCCAAAGGAAATGCCGGGTAAGAGAATCTAACCAAGGGACCAATTTGTTGAGGCGAATAATTGTACCCAGTATCATTGAACTTTACTGATGAGCCGTTAGGTGCCATTTGATGTGATAAAAGAGAAGGAATTGATGCCGATGACCCGATGCGGCGGCTCTCCTCATCCTTCAAGGGGGGTAAAAAATAAATAGATGATGTATTTGGACTGTTCTGAGAGTTAGAAGTATTATGTATGAACAAAAAAAAATAAGCAAAACACCAATCAAAAGAAATTTAATTTGTATTCGTAAATAAAAGAAAAATAAGGCCAGCCCATGAGTGTAACCAAGAGAACAACAAGAGAGGAGACTAAATACCCTATATGGAAGTATAAAAAAAAAATAAACATTCAAGCAACACACGAGGTATATTATTATCTTAACATCAGATACCTTAGGTTAGACCAAGGACTTTTTTGAAAGTCTAACCTTAATTCTAAAATTAAAATAAAGTAATTTATATTGAAAGGAATTGCCCTCTAGAATGAGGCAACTATAGAAGATTTAGTCTGTTGATCCTCTCTAGATATTACACCAAGCGTGAGACCGAAGAAAATTGTCTCTTTTTAGTGTGAGACAAAAAGCCAAAAATGGCGTCCTTCTATCTTTATTTTATTTAAGGACAATTAATGGAGTTGAGACAACAGTTGCAAAATGTCCAAGGGCAACTAAGACTGAGAGACGGACAACTGAGGGAAGCGACACGACAACTGACAAATGTTCAAGGGCAACTACAGGAGAGAGATGGACAATTGAGGCAGATGACACAACAGTTTACAAATTTTCAAGGGCAACTGGGAGCGTTGACTCAACAGTTGACAGATGCTCAAAGACAGCTACAAGAAAAAGATGAAGAAAATACCACCATGGGGGAACAACTGAGGGACAAAGAACAGGAAGTGAATGAACTGGAAATATCTCTTTCAACAGCTCAACAAGCGTTAAGTGAACGTCCACGCCATCAGTCACCTGACTGGGTCATTTCACGTGATCAAATTCAGCTGACAGAGAAATGCATTGGTAAAGGAGGCTGGGGAAGTGTTGTCGAAGGCAAATATTGTGGCTGCACTGTTGCCGTGAAACAGATTTACGAGGTGCTTCTGAACCTTTCCTCTCATAACAGAGAAATGTTTGAGCGGGAAATGAACATTGCTTCAAAATGCCGCCATCCTTGTCTGCTACAATTCATCGGAGCAACAAACGATGAAGGAAGTCCTTTGTTCGTGACAGAGCTCATGGAAACGAGTTTGCGAAAACTGCTGGAGCAGCGATCACTTTCTCCAGCTGAAGTGGCTGTTATCTCTCTGGATGTGGCTCGTGCATTGAATTACCTGCACCAAAAGAAACCACGCCCCATCATCCACCGCGATATCAGCAGCGCCAATGTGTTGCTATGGCGACAAGCGGACCAATGGCGAGGCAAAGTGTCGGATTATGGTGCTGCTAATTTCATGCAACACACCTTGTCAGTTTGTCCAGGTGCTGCAGTATACAGTGCTCCTGAAGCACTTACTAAAAATCAGACTGTGAAGGTATGTCGTCTGCTAAACTTAATCTCCAAACAAAAAGCCTGTTCACAGGCTAATTTAGAATATTAAATCCCTGCGAGATACCGAAGGAGAAAGACTCAACGGCTAAAAAATGCAGTTTATGGCTGTGAAAAAGGACAGAAAACGTTGTGGTTTTGTGATTTGGGGATACTTATTTCTGTCAAAAAGGTATATAAAAGAAAAAGGGGTTGGACCTCTGTGGGATTAACCCTTAATTCTGTTCCATAGTAGCCACGCCCGACTGATATATCGTCCTCTGATGTATTGTGTGATAAGTAAGTGACCTTAGGCCTTGATCGTCTAATCATCTAGAATCATCAAATAATACGTCCTTGAACATCGAATTGGCCTCCACTCTTCGTCTCGCCTGCGATAATCGCACGACTTCTGGCCGGAGTCGCCGGTACAAAACTTTGTTCAGTAACCCCTGCCCCCCCACCCCCGGTACACAGACTAGACTAATAGATAGACCGAAGATGTGAGTATTTAGGTAAACAGTGAAAGATTTTAGTGGCCGAGCCGTCGTCGAGTGCTGGGTGGAATAAAGAATGGCATATAAAAGATGCATTTGCGGTTTTACAAAAATCTGAGTCCTCTTTAGGAATAAGACCTATGCCCTAGGATTACTAACTTTGAAAGTGTTTTGTGTATACAAAGGAGTCAAATGATACATAAGGTGATAAGTATTGGTGTGGAATTATAGTGTTGTTATCTAAATGTATATATATTTTTAATTGTTATCGTCTATTTTTCGTCTTCAGGTTGATGTGTACAGTTTTGGTGTTCTCATCTGCGAGATTTGCATCGGGAAACTACCAAATCCTGACAGGCGTGCCGAGCAAGTCGCCATGGTGAAAAGCAAAGTGCTAAGAGCTCTCATTCGTAGATGTTTACAAGACAATCCTCAAGACAGACCTAGTATGGAAGAGGTCATTGGTGTACTAGAAAAACTAGGTTAAGAAGGGCTTGATAGGATCTGTTCTATATCTTTTTAGTTACTGGTTTTTAACAGTAATACAGAGGGAGGGAACTTCTTATGAGATAGGAGGATGCACCCCGCCATCACCACTACCACACCCCAGTCATGACACGTACGGGTGACAAGTAAAACGTGACTAGCGTGGGATACAAGAACCGAGATATATTCTGCGTTGTCATTCTCACGCTACACGTAGTATATTCGGTGAACCAAACTCCGTTTTATCTTTTGCGTTTTTTTTTGTAGTAAATTCAGCACGTCAGATTTGAAGAGTACGCTCATGTGTTTCTGGTATATACGTTATGGTTCATTTTTTCTTTGGCTTAATTTTTATTTTCCTTTGTTCCAAACTCATTATCATACATTACCATGCCTAAAAATTAACAAAGAGGAAAAATAAAAATTGAACCAAGGATGAAATAACCACAACATATACGCTCCTGTTCTATAAACCTGCTAGAAGACAGTGTGGTCATGAATGTGGTGACCGCGTTAGACTCGCAATCCGGAGGTCGCATGTTTCAATCCGCATCCGGAGGTCCCGAGTCAAGCAATAAACATTAGATACATCGGTTTAACGGTTCTCCTCAGTTGGACTCCTCGATCCCGCTTGTAAATGACTAACTGGTTTGCCTCCTGCCAAGGTGGGTCTTAAATCATGCTACTTGTGAATTAAATCATTTGTTTCTGGTTGTTTGAGTGGGGTGCCTGTGAAGTAGCTGGGTAGCTAAGTGCACTTCCACTATAAATAGAACATTTACATTTAACCATTTTTCATCAATCAGTGTAGGTTTGTGGCTGCAGGTACTGTTAGAAAATTAGAAGTAAAAACTGTCAAGGCCTTTGGCAGTCTAAGGATTGAACTTCCATTGAACTGCCACTGATTCATGATCTGATCAAGTGCAGGAGGCGCGATTCTTTTGGTCAGCGCCATATGCCTGGATTTGGGTACAAGAATGGAACAAGCGATAAAAGGCCGAAAAAAGGGGACGCATAGCTCATTTTTATTCGTGTAAACATTAAAATTTGTTTGATTCAGTTAGGCAGCTGCCCAACCTTAGTCGTAGTATATACCGAGGATGACTTGATTTACATACGAAAAAACTTAACCTTTTTTACCTCAAACTGTAGGTTAGATATAAGGTATAGGCTCTGCGATAGCTTTTAAAAGTATATATATAGGACTCTGAACTATGTGAAATAAACGCGCGTAATCTTTATTTTTCTTAGTATTGTCCTGTTACTCTTATGTATACTCTGTCACGGAAATATTGGAGAAATTCGGACATGAGTGAACTTTCTATGCGCAGGACCGAAGGACCTTCAGAAATAACTGGAGGACTGACAATTCTCCGTAAAAAAAAAAATTGTGACTTAAAAAGATCAATAAACTACAGAAAAAAATCCTGCAGATAAATAAGACATTAAGAAAGAATAAGTTAGAGCAAGAAAGCAAAAAAAAAAAGAACAAGATTTAAAGAATACAGGGTAATCCATATACGCTGACCACCATAAAAACGGTGCCGATAAAACGTCAAAGTAGCCAAGTAATTTTTAGATTAGTTCTTTGAATGTATAGCTTCATCAATGGGTAATGTTGATTTAGCTTTGGTAAATATTTAGACTGACTCAAAATAAGGAAGAGATTTTTACTAATTTTTTCTTTTTGCTTTTGGAAATATTGGTATGTTCGTTTTCAGGTTAAGCTTGCATAGTAGATCCAGAAATTTTTCATAACGGGAGTCCAATCTTTTCCTAAGGTTAAAACGGGGAATTACCAGTTCCCACTTCCCCCATTTCACTTGCGCAAGTTTAACTGAATAGTGTATTCGAGTTTGTAATTTCAGTTAAAAGCCAAGTATTTCAATTTCTACTGAAACAATCCACGGGGTAAATGTAAAATTAGTTAAACAATGCAATAAAAGTTTTTTAAAGTAACCGATGGTAGAAGTCCTCCTTTAAGCTTTAGATCCACACGGAATGGAAGCTCTATGAAATCGTTTGGAGTCACGTGATTCATAATTTTATTGGACAAATCAACAGTAATAAAGGACGATTTGATAAGAAGTCCATCAAACGAGACGAACTTTCTTTTCGAATTCACCGTTCCCATTTTTCGCTTCTTTTTTGTATCCGAAAACCTTTCTAAACTCTGCTCCGCGCCTTGGCTTTTTTCAGGAACCAGAAGAAACTCATTTAGAGTTGGCGTCTTTTGACTCCGCACTTCCTTGTGATTTCCCTTTTACATGTTTCAACTGACACCGAAACGGTCCTTCGAAAGTGCATCAAGACAATCATGAGCTCTGCAAATTACGAAAAAGAGGGGGGTTGCTTTGGTCGAATGCTGAAAACTAGAGCTAGGCAAATAACTAAATGCCTGAGAAATCATAAACATCCTATAGCCTTCGAGCAAAGTCTCCATTTGGGAGAGTCGCGAGAAGTCACGCGAGAGCCGCACGTGAAAGGAGACGCGGGTTCAAAGGGCGGGGGAAAGAAAAGACCTCCGCCCTTCTCGCGGTTTCGCTGCACGCTCACGCGTCCTCTCGCCATAAACATGCTTCTGATTATGACACCCGTTAACGCTAGCCAAAACCAAAATGCAACCTACCGAAAGGAAAGAGGCAGCATGCTAGCATGAAAACAAGCTAATAAGAGTCAAAGTATTTCTTACCTTACAAGTACAAGAACCCAATGACCATCGACAGAAGTTTGACGGAACAGGCTAAAGCGCGGCCAACTTGCAAAACGTAGACTAACGGGCGCAGCTTAAGCATCGTGTAAATGTTGAGTATCTGAGGGACCAGAAGTGCACGAAACACCGAAAAGACTGAGCACGCTTGGGAAGAGAAACTGGCCTTTCATAAGAAACCCACATTGCACGTACAGACACGTATGAGATACTCAGGGGCTATACGTATTGCGATGGTATATTACGAAGTCCCCAGAGAGAACCATGATTTCCGATATTTTAACAAGTCTGTAAGCGGCTAGCTTGGGTCGCAGACAATGTACAGACTATACAAAGGTTTAGACCTATGGTTTAGACGATGCATGGGCCGGCTGTAGCGCCGGCTATTAAACGGCATGCAATAAAAAGAGCCTGAGCAGAAACTTAAATAATTCGTTACCATATTTTCACCTTTCTCAATTGCCAATTGAGTGATCTCAAACGTTGAACTGAGAACAGATATATCGGGAACCGCACAATCATCATTCCACGTGTGAAGCAGGCATCAACTTGGCACGTGCACCGGGCTTTTTGAGAAAAAAAAGTAACAAAGGCGTGATTCACGCAAAGTTGATGTTTGCTAATCAAAAGTACCATTGCTAATTGTTGTTCTTGTTGTCGCTGTCGTGGTTGGTCAATACAACAACAAGAACAACAACTGTTATTGACCCCTTATACTTATTAAGCTTCCTTTCTTACTAAAAAAAATGGAAAACGTTGGACTTTTTGGAAAGTTCAATTCAACATTACAAAATGGCAGCCACCAGCTGTTATATTTTTCGTTATTTTGGCTTGCGCACGGGTTTAAATTGCCCTCGAACAAATGTTACCAGCGGCGGACGGGTTTACTTTAGACCAGTGATGTCCAGTAAGTCACAAAGAAAGCCCAGGGGGTGGAGTTGACTTTTTACAGTGGTCTACAGTTTTTTGGATTCTCTTCTTCGAGTTTCACAAAGTCTGCTGAATTCGTTTCTCTACCTGGGAAAGCTTCATTGGTTTCCATCTCTGGGGCAGTCCTATTTCTATGAGCCTAGCGTGTTTACTTTCCGTTACGTCGGAGATAGAAATTCGTGGAACACGTGGTGCTGGAGTGAGAACGATGGAGGCTGTGATGTCATCTCGTGCCTCCTCCTATTTTGTGTATTATATTTTATGGAGGGTGAATTTGAGCAAATTATCACGAAACAAGGACAACAACAGGTAACTGCAGAGTAAGTTTCATTGACTTTTATTTGGTAATTCCTACAAATTTTAGGATCGTATTTTTACCCTATACAAACACTGTAATTTAACTGGATTCGTACTTTGGTACTATCAAAGAGCCTGGTTTACCTGTGCTATTTCATTATAAAATATAGTGTTTCAATTCTTGATCCGTTATTATGTTGTACCTTTTTGAAAAACTTTGCCACTACAAGTTGGTGAAATGCAGAATACAGCCTGAGTCATGCACATTGCAAATTTTATATTATGCAAAAGTTCAGATGAAATAAATATCTGGGCACAGTTCACCATAAAAGACGTTATTCATCGATCACTGCAATAATTTTGCCAGATGGAATATTATTTTGGTATAAACTGAGAGGCTGGTAAATTCTAGACTATAACAAGCCTGTTTTATTATTCTCTATTCAGATACTAAACATTCTATGCTAACCTTTTCCAGGCGTTCAGAAAGTTGGGGCAGCGCAAAGAAAAGTAAACAGGAAAAAAACAAGAACAAAAGAGCGGTGGGGTGGCAGCCTTGTTCTTCATTTCGCGCCCCTCTTCCTCTCCACTATCTGAAGGGACTACGCCCATGATGACCATGACTTTTGTTAAAGGGAGATTTTAATAGGGAGCTGCGATAACGTCACTCAAAAAATGAATTCGCGCTGTTTTAAACTTCATCGCACTTATTCCACCTCGTTCAATTCGACAAATGTTGGCGGATTTTTCTGGAGCTGAACAGTCAGGAACAGTCAGGAAACGAACAGTCAGGAAACGAAAAAGAAAGTCTTTGTCTCGTGTTGACCGATCCTTGACAAGACGTGGAGTTTTTTTAAACGTCGCAGTCGTGCGACGAAGGAAACGAAATGTACAAAAAGCGTAATGCAAGTGTAGAGTTGTTGTTTTGCTAATCTCCAGGCTTGTTTACATGGACCTTAGGTAGATGGTGGAACCCGATTAAGAGGGGTAAAAAATAACCCACGTTGACAACCCGTCATCCCTCCAAAAAACTGACATGTTGTGGCAGTTAATGTTCTTCTACTCTCATTTAAAAAATGACAGATTATATGCACATGCGGGTAACCTCACCTAAGCGGGTTATTCTACCTAACTATAGGGTCGCCCACCTCCATGTAAACAGACCCTTGACCAACTGCTTTTTTAGCGCTCTCGTTGTCGTTGCCGTCGTCGTTGCTTAAGCTCTCAACACTTAAGTCCGTAAACCGCATGTAGTAAAAAAAGCCTGACCATAGAGTTTGAATTGGAAAAAAAAATACTAATGTTTTTTTCTTCATCATATTTCTTCTTTCACAGTTGCCAATTACCTGATTTCAAACGTTGTCTCTTAAAGGTCAGTGGACAAGAAAGACATTTAGCTCGGGTCCCAGAGGCATTTCTTCACTGCAATCTTAAGCAACAAGAACGTTGACATTCCAGTCGTCGAAAATGGCCACCAGTCAGCAGTCTCGTTACGTCCGCTTCTGTTGAAGAGTATGGGTAATTACCATAAATTGCCGCTTACAGGCCCTATATTGCCGCTTACAGGGACCTATATCCGTGGGCGCTTAAAACAGAAATAAAAAAAGCGCTTTACAACAAGCTATAGTAGTGCATATCAGAATAAGTATTACATTGACTGGCTTGTTAATTAAGCTTCAAACATCGTGATAACACGTTTGCACCTCAATACAGTTGGAGGGAAGGGGTGAGGGCTTATAATCAGATGTATTAAGACGGAATCCACCAAGAAATTGAGTAATAATATTTTAATTTTCAGTGGACAACAACCTTGTACTAGAATAATTAAGAGCACATTGCATTATTTTTTACATTTTTCAAGGCTAAAAATGTAATTAGTTATCCGCAATAACACCAAAGAGAATTTCTTACTGGAGGTCGAGAAAATGAATGTCAAATTTCACAAAATTGCATCTTACACATGAAATTTTCAGAAGTTTACCTGTGTTTTCACAATTCTTCTGAAATTTGACATTCATTTTCTTGGAATCCTTTGCTGTTATTACATATGACTAATTACATCTTTAGGCCAAACAAAGAATGTAAACAAAGAATGCAATATTCTTTAAATTATTCTGGTACAAGATTTTTGTCCACTGAGAATTAAAATTACTCAATTTCCTGATGGTTCATTATCAAGAACAGGATCATGTGGACATCAAGATCTTAAAATTAGATATTACCTAGTCATCCTGGAGGGAACTTGAGCTTCCGCCCTCCTAAAACGTGTAAATGGATGTGATAGACAGACTGACAGCCATGTTGACCATTATTGATTACCACACGATACCCTTCCTGGTCAATACCCTTCTGGGCCGCTACTTTCTTCGCAACAATCATGCAGTGACCAAGAACCTGAAAAGAAAAACATAGTCATTCACAAAGCTGTCAAAAAGGGCCATAACCCACAACACCTTTTACAGCTGAGCTCACTTCATTTTACTGGTAATCGAAGTGGAAGCTACGTGACACTACAAAGTTCTGGGAAGATGCTACGGCTGCTCTAAAAATTTATGACAGCCCTGATACTTTTTCATTTTAAAGATTCCTCTCTCAAAGGGATCGGGTGCAAAAAGGAGTTGAAAGAGAGAGAACAGGTTAACAGGATCCAGAACTCTCCAGTTCTAGCCTGATCTACTATTCTACTTTTCCTTACGAAGTCTCAAATCGTTGGGCAGAGTGTAGGTATCACAGCTGTCTGTAGGGAGGTCTATTATGTCTATGAAACTCCTAGGGAGGGGAGAGGAGGGGAAGTTGGGTTAATTTTTGCTGGGTATATGTGCCGCTGGCCTCTCAGAATCCCTACCCCATTATAGTCTATTCTGTAGCCATATTATAGACCCCATCTTAGTCACTTTGGGAAAAAAGTAATTTTTGCAATTATCTCAACTTATTCACTTTCTGTTTATGCATCTACCTTTTATAAATCCTTTTAACTTGGTCACCCTTAAATGAACTGACACATTTATTAAACTTAATGTGCTGTAAATCTTTTTATTTTCAAATCCCTACATACATGTAGGCTGTACCTGAATTTTCTGATCCCCAAAAGCCTGAAAATGTGCAACCCCATTCTAGTAACTTTTATAAAACTGCAACCCCATTATAGTCAATCCCATCATGAAAATGCGACCCCATCCAGCAGCACATATAACCATTAGCCTACTACTCGGAAGTACTCCTCCAGGATGAAACTATAAAGGAGGCAGGATAGGGGTAGGTTCCTAGTCAATAGTGTGGTACACCCTCCAAGATACCCACACAGGGAACACGAACGCAATTACTCTAGTCTTATGAGTGTCAACTTTTTAAGGGTTTGACCCTATACTAATGGGTTAAGGGATTCAGGGTGCCCATGGCACACACCCACCCAAATTCCTAGTTGGGATAACAGCTCTCCGAGGGTATTAAATAATAATCCAGTAAATTTAACTTGCAATAACAGCAATACCTTAATTCTTAAACACAGCTGTGGCTGGCCTCCCGTAGTACATACAACAAGAGGAGTTGCTAACAATCAACACGAACGTCCCAAACGTAGTTTATTCACAGGTCCTCGGTACAACACATTCTTTTTACTCCTTAGTTCTTGGATCCTGAGTCCCGAGATAACAATCTGACATGACAAATACATGATAGGCTAAATACGTGATTCGTAAGTACTAAACTTCAAAATGTCGTGTGAAATACTCTCTTGGGATTTTCCGTAAAATGTTCTTTTAACAGTTCTTACCGTTTAGGCCGTATAATGTCCGATGGATGGCGATAACTATCCAAAAACTTGAACAACACGAGAAAGGGCTAACATGGCGGCCGCTTACTAAAATCTGGTGCGGCTGCTAAGCTTTTACAACATACCGCTGACTGCGCAGCGCTGCAGTCACATGGCTCCCCTAATTGTTGCCTAACAATTACTTAAGTTAATGTCCATACTAGACAGTTAAACAAAACAAATGTTCATAAAGGCGGTCACTTGTGTCTTCTACACCTGTCGGGGCGACTTCACTGAGTAGTTGGCTCCTCGTTGGGGAATTCCTCGGTCTCCCTGCTGCTATCACCAACATCCGCTTCATCTGCAGAGGGTACCAGTAAGACTAATTTGTGGATTGGTCTATCCAGGAACGTAGATGGCTTTCGACGTCTGCCTTGGTTGTCAAGTTCTCCATCAGCTTTCACAATTTTGACTTTTCTGATACATCCGTCTTCGCTAGGGTAGACTTCTACGACTCTAGCGAGTGGCCATTGGTTACGTGGTCCTTCGTCTTCCTTGGATACGACTACATCTCCAACTGATAGATTTCGCTTTGGATACATCCACTTGTTACGAGCCTGCAGGCTATGAAGAAACTCACGGCGCCATCTAAGCCAAAATTCGTTCGCGAGATATTGTACTCGGCGCCACCACTTGCGGGAATATAGATCTGCTCGCTGGAACCTTCCAGGCGGTGGAAGTACAACTTTAGCTTTCAAGGTAAGTAAATGACTGGGCGTAAGTGGTTCTGGTGCCTCTGGGTCATTTAAGTCGTTCGTAGACAAGGGTCTGGAATTAACAATACACTCTGCTTCAGTCATGAAGGTTCTGAACGCTTCGTCGTCCAACTGTGTGCCAGCGCTCAGAAGTAACGTCTCCAGTGCACTACGAACAGTTCGGATTAACCTTTCCCATGTGCCACCCATGTGGCTGGCATGAGGTACATTCATCTGAAATGGTATCCAATCACATCCGTTCTCCACTAAGTACTCTTGCACCCGGTTCTGATCCAGTTCTTCTAAGGCAGCTTTTAGCTCATTCCTCGCTCCTACAAAGTTTGTACCCTGATCACAGCGGAGCTGTCTGACTGGACCGCGTCGGTTGAGGAAGCGACTAAGTGCGTTGATGAAGGAACTGGTACTTAACGAGTTGGCTGTCTCCAAGTGTACACCTCTGCTGGCCATACAGGTAAAAATAACTCCGTAACGTTTAACTTCACTCCTCTTTTCCTTGATCGGGAAAGGTCCAAAGAAATCTACAGCACAATACGAGAAGGGGGCCGAAGGTTCAACTCGATCCACAGGCAAATCGGCCATCTTCTGAATTTGCAGGGGGCCGCGCATTTTTCTGCATGTAACACACTTGGAAATACAATTTGACACTGCTGACGATCCACCAACAACCCAGTAGCCTCTCTGGCGCAACTCATTTTGGGTGATACCTCGTCCCATGTGGTTCACTTTGGCATGCCAGAATCGAATCAGCAAATCTGTAATATGACTTTTACGAGGAAGTATCACAGGATGCTTCGTTGCAAATGGAAGGTTAGCTCGTCTCACGCGGCCACCAACGCGGATAACACCGTTTTCATCGAGAAATGGATCCAAACGATATAAGCAACTAGACTTCTTGACGGCTAGATTTCTTTCTCTTGCGATCTTTCTAGTAGTAAGCTCTCCAACTTCCTTAAGTTCCTTTAAAACTTGCATCTCGTCATGGAAATGTTCACGTTGAACAACCTTAAGAACTTCCCTCTCTGCTGCGTGAAGTTCTGTAAGTGTGACTGATACCTTCGGTAATGGTCTGATGCTCTCACCACCCGTTTGTCTCGTCAACTTCACTTCTCTACTTGCCAGTTTGCTCTTCAGTCGTAGACACAAAGCTATTGCCTTCAGCACATGCTGCCAGCTTGACATGTGGCGCAAACGGCTTGACGTTAACGGTTCAGGGGCTTGAGTAGCTCTGCTCTCTACACGAGATGTGAAAACGGCTGCTTTCCTTACTTCAGGATCACTTTCGGTCACTTGAAATTCTTCTATCTTCTCAGGCTGGAAAGTTCCACTCTTCCAAAGAAATAAGGGTCCAGTTAGCCAGTTGGTTCCTTGTAATAACTGTGACGCTGTAAGGCCTCGCGAGGCATGGTCAGCAGGATTAAGTTCAGTGCTGACATACAACCAAGAACTCGGGTTAGTGACGTCACGAATCTGCTGCACACGATTTGCCACATACACATGAAACCTCTTAGCTTCGTTGTTAACATAACCAAGGACGATTTTGCTGTCTGTCCAGAAATGTTCCTTAATGTCCGTGTAAGACAATTCTCGACGAAGAAATTCACTCACGTTTGCTGAAACAGTAGCTGCAGCCAATTCTAGCCTCGGCACAGTGATTTGCTTTAACGGGGCCACTCTAGATTTCCCAATGACAAGGGAACAGTACGCCTTGTCCTCCACATTGATTAGTCGAAGGTACGAGCACTGTCCATAACCCTCTACACTAGCATCTGAGAAATGATGCAACTCGCTGGCTTTGACCTGCCCAAAGTTCTCCGGCTTAAAACAACGTTGAATTTGCAGCTGATCGAGATTCAGAACATCCTGACGCCATTTCTCCCAATGAGTATACAAACTCTCTGGAATTGGGCTGTCCCAATCAAGCTTGTCTCGGCACATTTGCTGCAAAACTTGTTTTCCTTTCAAGGTAACTGGGGCAACGAAACCACTAGGATCGTAGATTGAACTGATTGTGGAAAGTACGCCACGTCGCGTTAGGGGACGGTCACGCAGCTCGATGCGGAATTGAAAACTGTCATTCTCAATGCACCACACTACTCCTAAGGCACGTTCTAAGGGCAGTGGATCAACCTTCAAGTCTAGCTCCTTTAATCCTTTGGCGCGATCTTCGGCCGGAATCTGTTCAAGAACTTCTCTTTTGTTTGATGAAATTTTGTGCAGTCTCAGGCCGGCCTTGGCGCAAATGCCTTGACTTGCTTTTATCAGTGTAACAGCTCGCTCCACGGTAGGGACTGATTTTAGTCCATCATCCACATAAAAGTCCTGTCGTATAAACTCAGCAGCTTCTTCACCAAACTCTTTCTCCCCATCATCTGCTGCTCTCTTCAGACCAAAATTTGCGCAGCCAGGTGAACTACCAGCACCGAAAAGATGAACCTTCATCCTATACTCAGTCACTTCATTTGCAGGATTCCCATCCTTCCACCACAAAAAGCGCAGGAGATCTCTGTGTTCCTCTGACACCATAAACTGATGAAACATACTCTTAATGTCAGTCATAAACGCAACATTTTCTTGTCTGAATCTGCACAGGATCCCCAGAAGAGTGTTCATGAGGTCGGGTCCTTGTAACAAGTGATCGTTCAGGGACACCCCTTCATACTGGGCCGAACAATCAAAAACAACCCTGATCTGGTCTGGTTTTTTTGGGTGGTAAACACCGGTGTGTGGTACATAGTTAACCATTCCATCCTGAACTCCATGGCGGTCCGGTGGTACCTCTTCTGCACACAAAGCAATCACATCTTTCATGAATAAGCGATAATCTTCCAGAAACTTGGGGTTTCTCTTAAACCTTGCTAAAAGTTGGTGCCATCTCTTGACAGCTAGTTCGCGGTTGAAGGGTAGAGACGGTTTGTCTGTCTTCAAAGGGAGAGGCATCTCGTAGTGCCCATCCGATCTCTTCACAATACCATTCTCAAGGATGTTGAGGAATCTCCTGTCTTCAGCTGAACAGGGCTTGGTATTTGCAGAACTTTCTGTAAAGTCTGACTCAAGAATCTTAATAATCTTCTGTGGGTTGATAATCTCTTTCACCTTTGTCGTAAAGGCAAAGTGTTCATGGGTTTCTTTGACCATCACCTTGTTGCACACTCCTTCCTTATGGTTGGCTTCACCTGTAGATTTGCACACCTTGCCGATTATACCCCACCCCATTAAAGATCTTTGGCCGTAAGGGTCGTCTTCACCTCCCACTAGGACTTCTCTGGGTCTGACGATACTAGGGCAATTATTGCCAATCAGCAAGGAGATTTCCACACTTGGATTGTAGGGCATGAGCTCGTCAGCAATAGGACACAGATGTTCCCATTTCCGGGCAACACTGGCTTTTGGAATCTGCGACCGACTGGCTGGGATGATATCTCGCTTGAACATCATGGGTAGCTTCACAGCATGCTCCCTTCTAAAATCCAACACCTCAACTCCACAAATACGGTTGCTTGGTACATGTACATTTCTCTCTTGCACTGTTGTCAGCAGCAAGTCGGTTGGTGGGCCTTGCAAGTCCAATTTTTCACACAAACTTTGCGACACAAAACTCACATTGGACTGGTCATCTAGCACTGCATATTGTAAGACTTCTTTACTGGGTTGGCTAACTTGTCTAACCCAAACAGGTACAATCATGGCATGATCCGAGCCGCCCTCTTGCTCTGGGATGGTACAAACATTTGTACAGTTCGTAATACTTTCCTTGGGAGTTTTCTGAATATGGAGACATGTAGGGTGATTTCCAGAACACGTGCGACATTTAAGTCTGTTCTTACAGGAGGATACTTGATGTTGACTGCTAGAGGCACATCCAAGACAAAGAAATTTCTTATAGAAGAAGTCCTTCCTTTCCTTGTGCGGCTTCTCTGCAAACTTTTTACACTCGTCTAGCTGATGTTCTTCCTTGCAAAACAGACATACTTCGGTCTTTTTCTTCTCGCTCCTCCCTTGCGAACAGGTTGGGGGTCTCTCCTTTTCACCTTGACCCTGGGCAGTCACGTTCTTGCTTGGATCCAATACATGAGTTTCGAAGGAAAAGGCCTCCTCGCCTTTTGGTGAGCGTCTGAATGGTCCTCTAGGCCTAACAAACTCTTTGGTTTTGGACAGCTCCTCAAGTTCGGGAATGTTCGCTCTCTCTGCACACTCTTTCACAAATGAAGCAAATTCAGAGAAGGTAGGGTAAGTACCATTTCCTTTTGAGACTCTACACTGTTGTACTATTCCTCTCCACTTATTCTGAATTTGAAATGGCAACTTGTTTAGAGTTTTAACGTTCTCCTTCGCAAAGTCTAAGACAGCAAGACTAGGAGTAGTTTCTCTGGCGGCAATTATCTTTTGCAGGAAGTCAGAAAGATCTCTTAGGGCCTCCGCATCTCTTACGCCAATCTTAGGCCAGTTCTCCAGTTTGTTCATAAAGGCTGTCCCTACTACATTGCAGTTACCATACCTTTCCTTTAACAACTTTCTCGCAGACTGATAGGCATCTTCAGTACCAATTAACATATACTGATCAACAACTTGTTTGGGCTTTCCTGAGATGTACTGATGTAGGAAGTTCAATTTTGTCTGCGCGTCCATTGGTTTGGAATCAATAAGGGCACTGAAGGAACTGTTCCATGTAGGATACTCCAAAGGATCTCCACTAAAAACTGGGATTGAAATCTTAGGCAGTTGCCCTGAGATTGCTAGTTGCCTGTTCACTAGGTTCTGCTCCATAGTAGCTGCCACCAACATACTACTTGTTTCCACTAATTTGTCCATACACTTTTCTAAGACGACAGAGTGTGGTTGAAAGGGTGTGGCACTGGGGCTTAACGTACTGTGCACTCCATTTTCTACACGCGGAAGACTGAAAGTGGGTTGGGCTCCACTTAACTGAGTTGAAGAGTAGATAGGTTCTTGCTGACCAGGAGAGAGATCACTCTTACTTGTGACTGGAATTGAATTAAGGAATTTGTCCATGTCCTTGACTTTATCAGCGGGGGGAATCGAGTTTAGATCCTGATCATCAAACAGTTCTACTTTATCTGCTGACATGCATACATTAAGCTTTGCTTGATTCTGAGCAAGTTCACTTTGTAATCTTAGCTCTTCCAACTTTCTTTCTTGTTCTAATTTGGTCAACTCAGTCTTTCTGTGTTCTAATCTCAGTAACCGTTCCTTCTCTATATAGGCCAGTTTAGCCTTTAAGGCAGCTTCCTCCTTTTGTAACTGAAACCTATCTTCTTCAACATTATCATTGGAACTTATTTTTGACCTACTACTTTTCTTGGATGCTCGACTGGACCTTTTGGATGCTTCAGAGATTGAATCATCCACGTGGTGTTCGACAAATTCCAGAAACTTTATCTCTGATCTAATGTCACACTCAAAATTTGACCATTCTCTGCCAACTTGATCAACCATTCTTTCAATATTTTCCACATTCTCATCTGGGTTCGCAAAAACCTTAATCTCTTCAACCATGTCTTGAAATTCGCAATACAAAATCTGAGCTTCGCTGAATTCTTTCTTAAATTCTACTAGTTTAGTTGACTGACCTCGCTTCAGTAGAGTACCTCTCATTCGCTTCACCAGTTCACATTTCTTAGTTTTCAAGTTACTTGTTTTCAAGTTGAGTTGATACGTATACCCTTTCTCCGTCAGGAAACGCTTCCTTGATTCATCAGTTTCTTCTTCCAGCGCCACATTGACCTGGTCTTCGGGTCTTGCTTCTTTGTTGACGGACATGACTGCTACACGAAGATCGTCAAACGATTGTTATTGTGGCTGGCCTCCCGTAGTACATACAACAAGAGGAGTTGCTAACAATCAACACGAACGTCCCAAACGTAGTTTATTCACAGGTCCTCGGTACAACACATTCTTTTTACTCCTTAGTTCTTGGATCCTGAGTCCCGAGATAACAATCTGACATGACAAATACATGATAGGCTAAATACGTGATTCGTAAGTACTAAACTTCAAAATGTCGTGTGAAATACTCTCTTGGGATTTTCCGTAAAATGTTCTTTTAACAGTTCTTACCGTTTAGGCCGTATAATGTCCGATGGATGGCGATAACTATCCAAAAACTTGAACAACACGAGAAAGGGCTAACATGGCGGCCGCTTACTAAAATCTGGTGCGGCTGCTAAGCTTTTACAACATACCGCTGACTGCGCAGCGCTGCAGTCACAACAGCAGTCATATAAAAATCAAGAGGTAAATGTACTTAAAACAAACAAAATGGTACGTGCATACTTGTTCATCCTCATCTGTAGCATCAGTTATCTTTCGTATTTCTTTCTTTGGTATAACTAAGAAATGAACTGGGGCTTTTGGATTAATGTCCTCAATGGCTATGCACTGAAAATAAAGCAATCAAATCGACTGTAATCAAAAGTACCTAATCACTTGTTGCTATTTCTGTTTATAGTTTATCCACCTTTTGGTTGATAATGGATGTACAAGGGTAATTTTATTAAATTTGTCTGTGAAAGGGGTTAAGTGGTGGAGTTGGGGGAAAGGCATGAAGGAGAATATGATATTTAATACCTATGTTAACCTGTGACAAGGCTCTTTCTTTCAGAAGAGAGGGAGAAAAAAAACGCCTGCTGATTTTTTTTCCACTGGCCACCTGCCACCCTCCATTTAAATACATTACCTTCAAAACATTCATTTCTTTAAAAAACTAACACAAGATCATTTCTGTGATAAGGTAATATCATCTAGAGTTTTATTTTAATATAACAGATGAACCTCCATGTTAGACCATGTCTCATAAGTGACACCTCCCATAAAACACCACTTTTAACATCTAGGCCACCACACTTTTCCCAGTCAAAGCCTTATGGTTGGAAACTCTTGTAAATGACTGTCTCCATAAGCGACGGCAACCATTGTTTAGCATGAGGGTTTTAAGATTTTCCATTGTTTTTAAACCTCTTCTTGAGCAGCGATCACCTGATGTACTGTAGTTCTGTTTTTTGAGTTCCCAACATCTGCTATGTTACTCAGCATAGTAGACAAACTTTTACAAACAACATGGATTTACATATAATATTATTGTTATCTAAAAATGTTTCCTACACATTCTCTCCAAAACCTAGATCTAATGTTTCCAGATTTCTCCTCATAAAAGACCTCCTGCAGTTTGACTCTCATAAGCAACCACCTCTGATAAGTGAACACCAACTCTTCACATTTTAAGAGGTCACTTATGGGTGGTTTGACCGAATTATCAACCACAAAAATGAAAATACAAACTTGAGGTTATGTTACAAAGGACAATTTGCGAAGACAATTTGGAGCACAAACAGTTTTGCAACATTGTTTCAAATGGTTGCAACACTGTTTTAACATTGCAATACTTTGTTGCGCTAAAAATCGCCGTTGCAGATCAGTCTATGTATCCATGTAACATCACCTTTAAACCTGGGGGAGTATGTTATCTAAATGAATCAGATACATCTTATTCAAACACCATTTAATTGCAATTGTCAAAATCCTATAAAACATAAAACCTTTAAGCCAATCAGAACAGAACTGTGCTAGATGTTTTGTGTGTAGACCAATCAGAAATACGTAATTCCAGATTTTGGCCTTTTTACATGTGTTCAGGTTATGGTGGGTGCACTAATAGCTATTTTGCTGGCACGGACCAGAGGAATGGCTTGGCTAGGAGAAACTGTGCGTAGATTTTTGGAGGCCGTATGAAAGGTCAAGATGTTATGACATCAAACGTCGCCTGTCATGCCATGCTTTGGATAGAAAATAGTAACAAACATCCAAAGACTCGAGACCAACAAAAACATAATATAGAAATCCCACAAAACCGGCTGGTTTGATCAGGATCACGACTTATGATAGTTCAGAACAGCTGAATTTTTTCAATTTGTGAAATTTACCCAGAATATGGGACTGTCGGCCATTTAGTGTTTTGAAAACCTTAACCGGCAGTGGAGCTGAAAAAAGTTCTAAGTGTCACAAAACACGGTTTCGTCTTTAGAGCCCAGGGTAAACCAAACACTAGACTTGAGATCTATAAAGTATTTCAGGATTGCTTGACTTGTCTTACTCGACATATGATAGTTTAGATTAGCTGGCGTCTTTCGATTTTGTGAAATTTATGGAATATGGGACTGCCGGTCATTTAGTGTTTTTAACACCTTGACTGGTTACTGGCCATATAGCCACAGCGAAAATTTTTACTATAGTTTCCCGCAGGAGCGAGCACGATGGAGGAAGGTAAGCTGTTTCTCTCTGTAACTGTATTATATTGCCACGATTATTTAAATTTTGTTAGTAGAAGAAGCTTTTTCAGCTTAAGTGACTTAAAATAAAACCCTTTTCGGCTTCCTACAATGGCTACAAGAGATACATTTCCTCAATTTCCTTGATTGTTGATGATCGTCTTGGGTTTCACTCTGTAATTCAAGCCGGTGACTTGCCGTCATTTCTTCAAATCTTACAGAGACTTATATAGTGGGAAAATGGTTAGCCATTAAATAACGGCTAAGTTTAACTTCCTCTCTATATAGTGGACATATTTAGCCGTTAATTAATGGCTAAATTTTTGTCTTATAATAATACAGAGTAACTTAACGGCTAATTTTTTGTTATGTCTGTAGACAAAAATTATCGCAAATTTAGCCGTTGTCTAAACACGGCATGCAAGTGCAGTGACTGCAGGCTGAATTTGTTGAATTTGCAGGTGTGCAACTATAGGGGTGGCGAATGGTAAAATCCGAGACTCGCCGAGACGCCGAGATCCTAGTTAGAAATCCGAGCCCGAGACTCTTTGGTAGAAAGTTTGGAGAGTCAAAAAAAGTAAAAACAAACCATGCAAAAACGAGACTTCGAGACTTATCAAAAACGCTTCCGAGATTTCGAGATCCTGCCAAAATTTTCCGAGACCCACGTTTTCAAGGTACCATTCCCCACCCCTAACTATAGGTGCGAGTGTAGTCGGTGTAGAATTAGAGTTCTAGTTACACATCGTTCTTGGTTTACCTGATCATCCTCATGAAGAAACGTAGCGGGAAGTTCACGGCGAATAATTCGTGAAAACACCGAATTCCCTTTGGACGCCATATTGAAAGAAGGAAGCGACCGTTCCCCAGTCCTACGCGGATTTGGCAGATTTTCGGCTTTCGGCGTTCTGTGCGCGAGTGTGGTGGTCAGGGCGGCCTGCCTGGTGGTGGTAGCAGACGCCCCCTCAGGGAGAGAGAATAACCGTGTTCCCGTATCCCATTTCAACTAGCCTCCCACGCAGGCGTTTTTAGGGGAGCTCCCCTAAAACGCCTGCGTGGCGTTTCCCCGGAATGTAGGGGAAAGCCTCTGATTGCTTGTAATGTTAATGCCATGTTGCAAGTAATTCCCGGTATTGTGATTGGTGAATGAATCTCAGAATAGATTCCCCGGGAAAAATCTAGCCCTCCGCGCGGGCGTTTTTAGGGAAGCTCGTTTTTCATCCCTCAAGTCTTCGTGGGAGGCTAGGAAAAACCTAGCCTGTGTGCTACGTTTACTTGTATTTCGGGTTTCCGACGTCTTGGCGTTTTTGTGTGTGTACATTTTCGGATTTTTTGGGTTAAGACAGTTCTTCATATTTACGGTTAGCAAACGTACCAGAATGTTTGTACTGTGGATGAAAAGTAGAGTGTTCTTCATTCAATCCATAAAATGGGTCAATTCATAAAAATAAAAAGTGACTAAGTTGGGATCGCGAAAATTACATAGTTGCCCAAAAGTGACTAAGATGTAGCGTGCGAGCGGCAGACGTTTCTCCTCGCTCATCGCTGCTGAGGGACTCGCGAGGAGGAACGTCTGCGACTCAGCGACAGAAATTCCAAACTGATGACGTTAATCAATGTTTACATAATAAATCGCGTAGTCATGGGTTCCAAATGCAAATTTGTTCAATCTTACGTTTCTCCTGGTTGATTTTGGTAAGGTGTTGTGTTTGGCGATGAGCGAGGAGAAACTTCTGCCATTCGCAGGCTAACTAAGATGGGGTCCATAAACGGCCACAAAATAGACTATAATGGGGTAGGGGCTCTAAGAGGCCAGCGGCACATACCCAGCAAAAATTAACTCAAGTAACCCCCCCCGGAACTTCCCGGCTGCAGGGCATACAGCCACAGCGTTTTAATTAGCCTGCGTAGCTGGCGGTATTGTGTGGGTGCGAGATTAAAGTTTTGGCGGCGGAGCCGTGTTCCAAAAAAAAAGGAGTAGGGACGAGGCGGTTGGTATTTCTCGCGGCTTCGCCGCTCGTGACGGCTCCGCCGTCAAATCTCACTCGACTATATTACAACGGCTCCGCCGCCAAACCTCACTCGACTACTGCACAATACCGCCAGCTACGCAGGCTACGTTTTAATAACACTGCTCTTCAGAGATTGGGCTAGGTACTGAACTGTAACGGTTAGATTGAGTTAGGTCGGTTATTTTATAATGAGAAAAAGGCAGAAATTATAGGAACTCGCAGCTACAATAGGACTTCCTACCCATGAAGCGAGCTCCTCTACCTCCTCTGAAACAACAAATTCGTTCCAAACTTCCGTGACACTTCCCTTTTCTAGCGAGACACGGTGATGAGTGTATATAATTGGTGGGAATCACGCGTATCACGAATGACAGTTTAAAGCCACTGAGTGTTTATTCAAACAGAATATAGAAGATGATTCGTATAAGAAGACCTGTGCTGAAATGAAATAACATGAACCATTTCGCCGAAATGAATAGACTGAACTAAACGTGAGTCAGACTTACTGATTCTTTCTGTGCGAATGAATTTTTAGAGGCTACTTATACGAGGTTATGACCTCAAAAACTGTCTGTTTGTTGTGAATTATTTTGATTACCCAAGTGTATCATCTTTCAAGCGAAACGTAGTAAATTCCATCGAGAGCGGGTTCGCTGAAGTTTAATGTTAAATGGCTGATAAGCTATCCGTGAGTGATAGTGTAACTAAAGTTTATCGAGCGGCTGGTGACGGTTCTTCTAATCTGACTACAAATACTCTTTTAAAGTGGCTGAAAACTGAACAAGCGATAGATAAAGTACATTCAAACTAGAAGGTTCACTGAAGCTAAATTTAAAATGGGCGATAGCCTTTCTGTTAGCGAATGTGTAACTCACGTTTATCAAGCTGCCCGTGATGGTTCTTCTAACCTGACTGATCTTTTAAAGCGGCTGAAACCTGGACAAAGTAAAACCGCTTTGGAAACAAAAACTAAAGATGGTAGCCATTTTGCCACTCCTCTCATCATCGCTGCTCGCAATGGACAACTGAATTCTGTGAAGATTCTTCTAAGATATGGAGCAGACATCGAGGCTCGAGGAACGCTGAAGATAGAGAACGATGTTATAGAGGGTTGTACACCTTTGTGGGCCGCTGCTGCTACTGGTCATCTTGATGTNATCGCTGCTCGCAATGGACAACTGAATTCTGTGAAGATTCTTCTAAGATATGGAGCAGACATCGAGGCTCGAGGAACGCTGAAGATAGAGAACGATGTTATAGAGGGTTGTACACCTTTGTGGGCCGCTGCTGCTACTGGTCATCTTGATGTTGTGAAACTGTTAATCGAACGAAATGCAGACGTTGAAGGTAGAACACCAACGAATTCGACTCCATTGAGGGCTGCTGCCTACGATGGGTACCTTGACGTTGTAAGATGTTTGGTTGAGAGCGGAGCAGATGTGAATGCACGAAATTTCTATGAGCGCACCCCACTAGACGCAGCGTGCTACCGTGGCCACTTAAGTGTTGTTACCTATCTTATTAACAAAGGCGCCATTATGGATCTGCAATGCAATGATGGCAGCACTGCACTTCACAGCGCTGTTGAACAGAGCCACTTGGAGATTGTCAGTCAACTTTTGGTTCTTGGAGCATCACAACTGCCAAATAATCAAGGTTTAACACCTCTTCTTTATGCCTGCGATAAATGTTCCATTGAAATCGTCGAGTATCTTATCAAAAGACCGGAATGTACAAAGGAACAGAGAATTAATGCTCTTGAACTTCTTGGTGCCACCATTGCTATTGATCGACCTCGTGACACTGAGAAAGCGCTTAGTTACATGAAACGTGGGATGGAGGAGAGGTACGAAGATTTGGCACATCCACTGCTTAAAACGAGAATGGAACCTGTGGAAGCTTACCAAAATAGAAAAGAGAGTCAAACTCTAGAGGAAATTGCTCTGTTAGAAGGTGATGATCATGCTATTGGCATGGAAGGACTAATAATCAGAGAGAGAATCCTTGGGCCTGACAATCCAGCAAATTTCTTTAGAATCAGATACCTGGGAGCTGTTTTAGTTGACTTATACGAGGAGTACGAGCTTTGTATTGGTTTGTGGCAACGATGCATGGAGAAAGCCATAAACTGCGATTTTCCGATAATAGAAGATCTTGAACGCCTCCCGGTTTTATTCGGAGAAATGTTAAAAAAAGGTAAACTTTTACGACCGAATTTCATCGAAGACGTGTTTGAAATACTGGTTGCTGAAAGTGAGAAACAAACCGAAAAACGTATGTCTAAAAATTTACAAGAGCGGCAGGAAAATGAGGAGCTAGAAAAAACGCTTTACTGTGCTCTCTATCTTTTGGTAATATACATCAAAGTTAAAGGTCAAAACGCCAACATGATTGACTTTCTTCAAAGATTCCTGCTTTTAAACCCTCTAACGAATGATGGAAATACTCTACTGCACTTAGTTGCGTGGCATGAAACACCATTCTTTTCATTTTTAAATGAAAAAGAAGAAACTCTTCGTAGTGTGGGCAAGCTTCCCTGTATTGAGACCATGAAGCTTATCTTACATGCAGGGTGTAATGTAAATGCCGTTAACACCGAGGGAAACACACCTCTCCATCTAGCTGTGAAGTATAAACCTGCTGAGCCTGAAGATGTCNGTTTGAAATACTGGTTGCTGAAAGTGAGAAACAAACCGAAAAACGTATGTCTAAAAATTTACAAGAGCGGCAGGAAAATGAGGAGCTAGAAAAAACGCTTTACTGTGCTCTCTATCTTTTGGTAATATACATCAAAGTTAAAGGTCAAAACGCCAACATGATTGACTTTCTTCAAAGATTCCTGCTTTTAAACCCTCTAACGAATGATGGAAATACTCTACTGCACTTAGTTGCGTGGCATGAAACACCATTCTTTTCATTTTTAAATGAAAAAGAAGAAACTCTTCGTAGTGTGGGCAAGCTTCCCTGTATTGAGACCATGAAGCTTATCTTACATGCAGGGTGTAATGTAAATGCCGTTAACACCGAGGGAAACACACCTCTCCATCTAGCTGTGAAGTATAAACCTGCTGAGCCTGAAGATGTCGAGATTTTGAGAGAAATGCTGCTGTTGTTGTTAGATATCGGTGCAGATCCAAAGCTAGAAAACAAAAATGGTCAAACACCACTGGACAGCTGTGAAATCGACGCGGCTCGTATGATCCTGTCCGAGAAAAGAGGACTGAGTGCCATGAACGTCGACGTCGGAGATGTAAGTAATATTAACATATTATAATTTTGCAAAAATCATTTCTCTTTCTCGAAATGAGAGAGTACTTTCTTCCAAGTCCGTATGTTGTGTTTATGATAATACGTCACGCTTGTCTGCCCGTCCCTATCTGAACGCCTGGATCGGAGTAGGGTGAATTTCCAAAGTCGTCTCTGTTCGAATGAAACGATCCATGTCTGCGAACCGCAGACGTATTTCCGGTCGTCTACGACGCATGATATAACAAGCGGGCGCGCGTTTATGTTTTAAAGCGGCCCAATTGTTACTCCGGCCAATTTACTGACTAAGAACTGTTATGAATCGTTCGATTGACGTTTGCGAAAAAGAATTCACACTGAATTCAAAGTTTTCCAAATAAGAAGTTAAAAGAACAAATTAAACTGAAAGGCGCCAGGTTATTACTAACACATTTTTGTAAATATCTTTCGCCTGTGGGGGGAAAGGGAGTTTTCCCAATTTCCTGTTTCATTTTTCCCCTCGCACAGTCTCTGCAATTTTTTTGCCCCCTTCCACTAAACAGAGAGCCTGTTTACCAGGCTACATAAATGCCGTTTTCGTGACGGATTTACGACAGATCGAGGTTGACAGGCTGCTAATAATAATAATAATAATTATAATAATAATAAACAGTTTAAATAGTTCAGGATATGGTACGTTTATTGCACTAAATTACTTTGGTATCATCTGAGGAGGCATGTCTTTCTCTATTCTCAAAGGCTGAAAAAATGGGAAGTGGAAATGATAAGAGGAGAGAAAGAGGAGGATTTGTTCCACGGACAGAAAAAGATCTTAATGAAAACACTCAAAAGGAGACTGAAACAAAGGAAATATCAGGTATTAATATAAGAGAATTTAACTAAGGGAACAATTGGTTAAAGCGAATAATTGTACCCAGGGTCATTGAACTCCACCGATGAGCCGTTAGGCGCCATTTTAGGTGAGGTGAAAAGAGAGAGTGTGTTTTAAATAGAGAGACTGGGGCCAATGGCCACATATGGCGGATCCCTCATCGTTCAAGGCGGTAGAAGATATTTGGACTATTCTCATAGTTATGGACATAATACATATATGATCAACAAAAATAAACAACAACAACAACAACAACAATCAAGCGAAATGTAATTTTTGTTTGTAAATAAAAGAAAAATAAGGCCAGTTCATGAGTGTAACCACGAGAACAACAAGAGAGGAGACTGAATATTTTAAACGGAAGTAAAAAGTATTAAACAGTCAAGCAACATACCAGGTATGTTATGTTGAGATCAAATACCTTGGGTCTAAAATTAAAATAAATAAATGGAAATTGAGAGGAATCCCCCTTTAGAATGAGTCAACTATAGAAGATTCTTCTCTAGGAATAAATCTATCATAAAAACATGAAAACAACGATAACTTAAATTTCTTTATCAAAACTTACAAAATGGGGACACTAAGCTGAATATATGGCAAACAAGATACCTCACTCAAGTTATTTGGGCGCACAATGCAATGTTGGTTAAGACCCTGGGCTTATCCAATTTAGTTTATGCAGCCTCTATGCTGCGTGTTCCTGAAATGGTTATTAAACGGTACAAGAAAAAATAACAAAATTTTTGTGGAAAAACAAAAGTGATAAAATAAAAATACCTGTTATATTTCAATCTCTGTCAAGCGGTGGACTTAACTTTCCTAACTTTCGCACAGTGGTTAAATCTTTATTCTTGAGCTGGCTCGGCAGGTTTTTAAACCGTACAAATAAATCATGGCAAGCAATCCCAAATGACTCCTTTAAGAGATATGGAGGGTTACCTTTTTTCGACTTCTAGCAAGTTAAGCGTATCTACTAAAAAGCATGAGCATCTATATTTTGGACACATCTTTTTGAGAAAGGAATCTGTTTTGTTCAAGACTTATTAGACGACAACGGAAAATTCTTGTCCCTTGATGATTTACCAGTTAAATACTAATAACGTTCACCTGAAATTTCTTCAATATTTTCAACTTATCGCTGCGATTCCAAGCTGCTTGAAGAAAAAAGCTCAAGAAATTGCCGTAACGAAAAGAGACCTACTTAAGGAACAAGAGGTTTTTTACTTTTCTGACAATAGACCACTCTCCCTGACTAATCTGAGATGTAAGGACTACTACAATTTCTTTCAGGAAGGTAAAACTACAGAGCCTACTGCTGTTAAACGCTGGTCTAGCTTCTTTCCTTACTTTGCCACTAGTTGGAAGCAGTCTTTGAATTCAATTTGTAAATCGACTAAAGACAATAAATTAAGAGAATTCGGTTACAAAATTCTCCATAGAATTTTAGTAACCAACAAAGGACTTAAGAAATTCAGAATCAGAAATGATGATCTTTGTGATCAGTGTAAGACTGCTGATTCACTGGAACATACCTTCTTACAATGCCCTGCAAATGTTACATTTTATTATGAAATCTTATCATGGTTTACTGTGTGCCATAATACTGTTATTAATCTTTCCCCGGAGCAAATTCTGATGCAGAAATATATCCCTGGTCCTATAAATGATAACCTCAGACGCCGACTAGAACTACTCATCCTGTTTATTAAAAAGTATGTATACAGTTGTAAAACTAATGTGGTGCCCCTTAACTGTACACAATTTATAAATACAGTGAAACCTGTATTAAGCGGACACCCTCTCGGAGAATGCTGTAGTGTCCGCTTAATACAGGATGTCCGCCTAATACAGGTTTCGATATATAACGTCATATGAGGTGTCAAATGCCATTCAAATGAACAGTGGAAGCGTTTATAATACTCCCAGAGACTATGACGATAGACGTTTGCATTAATTTCTTTATCAANAAATTCAGAATCAGAAATGATGATCTTTGTGATCAGTGTAAGACTGCTGATTCACTGGAACATACCTTCTTACAATGCCCTGCAAATGTTACATTTTATTATGAAATCTTATCATGGTTTACTGTGTGCCATAATACTGTTATTAATCTTTCCCCGGAGCAAATTCTGATGCAGAAATATATCCCTGGTCCTATAAATGATAACCTCAGACGCCGACTAGAACTACTCATCCTGTTTATTAAAAAGTATGTATACAGTTGTAAAACTAATGTGGTGCCCCTTAACTGTACACAATTTATAAATACAGTGAAACCTGTATTAAGCGGACACCCTCTCGGAGAATGCTGTAGTGTCCGCTTAATACAGGATGTCCGCCTAATACAGGTTTCGATATATAACGTCATATGAGGTGTCAAATGCCATTCAAATGAACAGTGGAAGCGTTTATAATACTCCCAGAGACTATGACGATAGACGTTTGCATTAATTTCTTTATCAAAGTGAACCAATTGATCATAGTACCATAAGCATGGATTGCAACTCAAATTTCAAGAAATCAGATGAGTAAAACAAGCGCTATACAAACAAAACGAAATAGAAAACGATCCTGTACTGTGAAACTAATCAAATAAGTTCGTCAAGTCATGTTTTTTAATGTGAAAATCGAAAACGTTTTGGGTAACAATTCGAGGCAATCTTTCACATTTCCGGTGTCTGGCATGTTGGGTCGTGGAATTTAATTACAAGTGTCCGTTTCATACCGGTTGGCAACAATAACAATGACCATTTCAGGTACTTCTTAGGTGTCCGCGTCCGCTTAATAGGGATGTCCGCTTAATAAAGGTTTCATTTAAAGTAAATAAGGGAAATAAATTTGGAGACTTCGGCTACTGTCTGATTAATAGAGGGTGTCTGCTTAATAGAGGGTGTCCGCTTAATAGAGGGTGTCCGCTTAATACGGTGTCCGCTTAATACAGGTTTCACTGTAATTTAAAACACGATGGAAAATAGAAATTTTAACTTAAAGTAATTATTATCTCTCTGAACCTTCTCACATGTAATTAACCTATAATTCAGTTAATAATGCAAATTGTAAGCAATAACATTGTAAATTAGTATTACGTATGTTGATGTAAGTAATTTCCATTTACTTTTTATTTGTTCTATTTCCCTTTTAGTGTGCTTCTGTATTTTTTTGTTTTTGTTTTTCAATGTCATTATTGCAAATAAAAATTTAAAAGAATAGAAGATTCATTCTCTATAAGTTTGAACCTCTCTAGATGTTACACTAAGGTCACTGAGCGTGAGACCAAAGAAAATTGTCTCTTTTTTATGCTGTGAGACAAAGCAGAAAATGGCGTCCTTCTATCTTTATTTCTTTAAGGACAATTGATAGAGTTGAGACAGCAGTTGGAAAGTATCCAAGAGCAACTAAGGCAGAGAGACGGACAACTGAGCGAGGCGACACAACAGCTCACAAATGTTCAAGGGAAGCTACAGGAGAGAGATGGACAATTGAGGCAGATGACGCAACAGTTTACAAATGTTCAAGGACAACTAAGAGAGAGAGATGAACAGCTGAGAGAGAGGACATTGCAGTTGACAAATGTTGAAAGACAACTACTGGAGAAAGATGGACAATTGAGAGAAATGACACAACAGCTGTCAAATATTCAAGGGCAACTTAGAGAAAGAGAAGGACAACTGACACAACAGTTGACAAATTTGCAAGGGCAAGTTCAAGAAAAAGTTGAAGAAAATACCTCCTTAGAGGAGCAACTGAGGGCAAAAGAACAAGAAGTGAATGAACTGGAAATATCTCTTGCAACAGCTCAGCAAGCGTTACGTGGACGTCCACGCCAACAGTCACCTGATTGGGTCATTTCACGTGATCAAATTCAGCTGACAGAGAAATGCCTTGGCAAGGGAGGGTGGGGAAGTGTTATCGAAGGCAAGTACTGTGGCTGTAGTGTTGCCGTGGAACAGATTTACGAGGTGCTTCTGAACCTCTCCTCTCATAACAGAGAATTGTTTGAGCGAGAAATGTCGTAGCGAAGTTCTACGGCGGTAGGAACAGACGACGTCAAGTAACCTCGTTGTTTGCTACTTCCTTCAGGAGAGAAACAGTGTCTCGAGTACCTTAGCTCAAATGCTTTTAACGACCTCGTCGCATCTCTTTCTACAACTGAAGTAGCTGTCATCTCTCTGGATGTGGCTCGAGCATTAAATTACCTGCACCAAAAGAAACCACGTCCTATTATCCACCGTGATATCAGCAGCGCCAATGTGTTGCTATGGAGACAAGCTGATCAATGGCGAGGCAAAGTGTCGGATTATGGTGCTGCTAATATTATGCAGCATACCATGTCAGTTTGTCCAGGTGCTGCAGTATACTGTGCTCCTGAAGCGTTTACTAAAAATCAAACTGTGAAGGTATGTTGTGTCAATCATTAGTCTGTATTTGTTATTTTTTTTTAACTTTTGACAACTCATGTAGCGTGTGGTATCCCTACGATATAGCCAAGGAAAATCGTCATGATTATATTTGTCAATCGGATGCTTGACTACCTCTGAGCTATATGAAAATTGTGGCAGGCTAATCCATGTACTAAACAGTCTAGACCCAAAGAATAAACAGAACATTGGACTACTGATTTCAGGGAAAGGTGAAATATTTTAGTGGTCGAGTTTGGTCGTCGAGTGACGGGTAGAATAAAGAAAAATGTTGTATAAAAGATTCTTTAGTGGCTTTATAAAAATCTGAGTCCTTGGAAGGAATAAAACCTATGTCTTGTTTAAATTACCGCTTTTGAAAGTGTCATATGTGTACAAAGACGTCAAATAATGCATAAGTTGATGAGTATTGAAGTGAAGCTATAGTGTTGTTACCCAGAATTTACTTATTTAAAATAATCATCGTTCATTTCTTTGTCTTCAGGTCGATGTGTACAGTTTTGGAGCTCTCCTCTGTGAGATGAGTATTGGGAAACTGCCAGATCCTGACAGGCGTGAAGAGCAAGTCGCCATGGTAACAGACCGCATGTTTCGAGCCCTCATCCGCAGATGTTTGCAACAAAATCCTCAAGAGAGACCTACTATGGAACACATCATTGGTGAACTAGAAAAACTAGTTTAAGATAGGCTTGATAGGATCTGTTCTATATTCTTTTAAAGTTAAACGTGTTTTTACCTTGAATTAAAAAGGGAGTGAACAGTTCAAGAGATAAAAGGGTAGCCCCAACCCCTCCCCGTCTGCGGGAGTCATGACCATTACCCTCGCCGACAAATCAAAAGGGACTTGCATGGGTAACAACAACCGAGATTTATCCTACGGTGTCCGTCTCATGCTACCGCACGTTTTAAATTTGGGCAAGCCAACTCCATTTTTAGTTTATTTTGCATCATTTTTTGGGAGTAATATCTTAGCACTTCAGATTTGAAGGGCATATATTCATCCGTATATGCGTTTTTGGTAAATACGCCCCTGGTCTAGGAGACAGTATTGGTCATGTGGTTAGCGCGTTGGACTAGCAATCCGGAGATCCCAAGTTCCTCTATGACCACCAGATGGATCGATTTACTGCTTCTCTCCAGTTCAACTTGTAAATAAGGTCTGACTCCTACCAGTTTGGGTTTTAATAAGGTATGTTACGTTTGAATTGAATTATTTGTTTCTAGGTATTTGGGTGTGTTGTCTGTGATGTAGCCGGGTAGCTAAGAGCTCTTGTGCCATAAATGTAACATTAAATTTTGCATTTTACCTTTCTTCTGCAATCAGCATATGTTAGTGATGGCTGTAGGTCTAGTGATAGAGAATTAGCAGTGATGAATCTACAAAAGCCTTTGGTAGTCTGAGGATTGAACTTCCACTGAATTTTTAGAATTTTTATTGCCTGAACAAGTGAAACACTCTTGGTTATATTCCTGTTAACTTGAAAATTTGTTTAATTCAGTTGGGCGACAGCCGCACCTTAGTCGTTGGGTAGTAATACAGCGGTAGCTTCTAAAAGTAGATATCAGTCTTTGAAGTGAAATGAAATGCATATTGGGATCCTAACTTTACTTTATTAGGGACCTTAAGCAACAACGACGACGACGGCAGTGAAAACATCACTAAAAAATGAATTTGCGTCCTTTCAAACTTTATGGCGTCTATTTGAAGCCGCACAATTCATCAGATGTAGGCGAGTTTTCCTGGAGTTGAATTTTTAACGACTTTATCCATGTTGAAATTGAGGAGGGACAATTCTTGGGTTGCACGTGACGTCACCAAAAATCAAACTAAGAAACTATCGATTCTTCTGAGTTTCTACTTTCACGAGGTATTACAGTACCTAAACTCCTTTACATAAACAAATTTTTGGTTCGAAACGGTTCTTCATTTTGCGAGAGAGGACGCTTGAATTTCCAGGCTTTTGCGTGACGCGGCATTAGCTGGCGGCCGGGAAAGCTCTTATGTGGGTTAAAAACATTACCAATTTTAGGCGATTTTGCAATCTAAACATCCCTTGTCTCAGAATAAATATTACCGTAATCTTTATGAGTTCCTCAAGCGAAGAATTCACGCATTAGTAGGAAAACTCGAAAACAGATGTTTCTGTTAGTATTCGGCGGCCATATTGGTGTTCCTGAAAGGGACACCAACACGGCGTTTCCATACAAAGCTTTATAAATTTAGGTAAACCGTTTTTCCCAATATCTCGCATCTGAAATATTTCACAGACCTGATTCTTGGCAAGGGATTTTGTATATTTATCTTCTTTCATTTCCTAGATTCTAGTCCTTCTGTATTGAATGGTTTACATTTTTATTTTTCATTGCGTGACAGTGCAAGCCGAGAATTGGTCGTCGTATGTCCACGTCCTCCACAAAACGTCGCATTGGGAGGTTTCACGTGGCAGTCGTGAAGTGGACGTCAAAGAAATGTACTAAAAAACGTGATGCACGTGCAGAGCAGTTGTCTTGCTCATAAAACCAATTGTTTTTTTACGTTGTCCTTGTCGTCGTCGTCGTCGTCGTAGTTGCTTAAGCTCCCTAATTGTCCTGTCACACTTACAGAGATTCGGTCACGCAAACACTCCAAAAATTTGGACATACAGTCGAAGCTCTCGTAAGCGACCACCTCTTAAATTTTAAAAAAAAAATTGGTCGTAACTAAAGCTGGTTGCTTTCGAGAATAAGATCTAGTAAGCGACCGCTCGGTAAAACAATAGAGGGCGGTAACCCACCCACTTATGAGTGTCTTTATATCTGATATAGACGGCTAAACACTATATCCAGGTTTGTTTATCAAAGTAACTCCAAGATATTTATCAACAAGCCATTAGCGCAGTGTGCAGTTTCTTCAGTGTTGCCTGAGTGGTCGCTTACGAGAGTTTAAGAACAAAGGAAAAGTCCAGTTAGGTAATGCCAAAAGTGCTCCAGGTCGCGTACGGGAGCGGTCAGTTTACAAAGTTTAAGTCACAGTTCAAACGGGGTTTCACAGAGATGGTTTTAACCAGAGTTGGTCGCTTACGAGAGTGGTCGAAAGGAGAGCTTTGACTACATGATAGGGACCAGAGGATCGAAGGATCGAAGGATCATTAGAAATAACTGGAGGGCTGATAATTCCCCGTGAGAAAAATGATTGTGTCTTAACAACAGCGATAGCAAAGCAAAAAAAATAGAAGATTTAGAGAATAGAAGGGAAACTCGGTCATCCATAAACCTGTACGTTGACCGCCAATAAAAAAGCGGTGGAAGTAGTCCTTAGATTAGTTAATCCTACTTCATCAAGGAGTAATTACGATCCAATGTACTAATTTAGCTCTAGTAAATCTGTAGAGTGGACTCAAAATATGGAAGAGATATTTATTTTACCATTAGTCATTTCTCTTTCATTTGGGAAATACGTTCGTTTTCAAGTTTAGTTTGCATTGGTGGATCCAGAAAATTTTGATATAAAGGGTGATCAATCTTTTCCTGGAAATTATCAGCTCCCACTTCCCGCATTTCAGTTGTCAAAAAACTTAAATAACATACTTAAAGCTTAGAGGTGAATTGTTGTAAAAGATTTCACTGAACAGTGTATTCGAGTTTGCATTTTCAGTTGAAAGACAAGTATATCAATTCCATTATGTCAAACATTCGTTGCCTACAAGACCTGTTTACATGTAAGTGGGAAATGTAAAGTTAGTAAAACAATGTTAGTAATAAAGTTTTTTAAAAAGTAACCGATGGTAGAACTCTTCCTTTAAACTTTTGATCCACACGAACGAATCTCTATGAATCGTTTGGAGTGGTGTGATTCATAATTTGATTGGACAAATCAACCCTGATCAAGGGCGGTTCGATAGGAAGTCCATTAAACGTCACGAATTTTCTTTTCGAGTTCGCAGTTCCCATTTTTCTCTTCTTTCTGTTCAAAGACCATTCAAGCACCTGCTCCGCGCCTTGGCCATTTTCAGGAACCAGAAGAAACTCATTTTGAGTTGGCTTTGTTTGATTCCACACTTTCTGAATTTCCCTTTCTCTTGTTTCAACTGGTACCGCAGGTCCTTCGAAAGTGGCTGTCTGCCACGAGGGAGCTAGATTAGTTTTAATTCCATCCACAGGATTGATATAATAATCCGAATTCGAGTTAAAATTGTGCAAACGAAAAAACCATTTTCTATCTTTTGGCCGGATTGCCATAGAACTCGGACTGCACAT